CTCCCGCGCGGGAGGCTGGGCCCTGACGCTCCTCAGGCCTCGCCCAGGTCACAAGTAACGCGAAACGCTCACTTGTGTTTACCTCTTTTACCCCTCTGAACCGTTCGGAGCGGCAGCTCTAGAGTCGAAGTGACACAGGTTCCCCTGTTTTCTTCTCAGATGATGAAAGCCCTATTGCGTTTGCTCAGAGCTGCTACTTGTCATCTACTCGACCAAGCGTGGATCACAGAAGAGGAGGATGGTGTTTGGGGTTGATACAATAAAGTGTTTTTTTTTCCAATAGTATTTTGTCTAGTTCTCAGTTATTGAACATGTCAGTGTTGTGGCTTTTCTCAGTGCTCATGCATCTGCCTTCTGTAGTTGCATTCGGCAGAGGGACGAAGCCCAGTCTGCTTATTACAGGGGTTACACTTACCCTTTTTGGATAAAATGATATTGCTGTGTTTTTGTATTTTGTGTTAAGCTGCCTTTTACAGCAAAAACAACTAGCTTTATCTTGGTTATGATGACCTTTATTTTGACCTTTCTGATAAATATTTCCCTCTATATAACCACTGAAATGACACTGTTAAGCTTCCTGGACCTTCTTGGAATTTAACTGCTTTTCGAAGTCATACTTTGGAGTGGCTTGCATGGCAGTTGCCTGCTGCTTCTGTTTTACTGTGGTCAGTGAGCTATTCTATAAATGTTACTATAAATATAACTACTTGCTATTTTTCCTGGCAGTCACCCACAGATAGTGTTTGCCCCCCTTAAAGGAGCTAGTAAATTGATCTCATTTATTTTTGTCCTCAACTTTCCCTTCTGCCACAACATCAAGTAGAAAGGTTTATTGTCCTAGGGCATTATGTAAGGGTAGAGATGAGACTGAAAGGATTAGAAGCGAGACTGAAAACTGCTATGATACAGGCAGGTGCTGGCTTGTAAGCACTTTATTTGTCCCTGTGGTGGAATGGGCATTTTCTGTCAGTTGAGAGTGATACCGGTTTGTGATGAGTTTGAACCGAGTGAGGAGGTCTGTGGCTCCTGATCCGGCTGCCTTAATGGTACATTGGTCCTTTTGGCAGAATGTTCTTGCTCCTTGAATGTGCTTCACTTAAGGCACTTTACTGGCAGGTGGGAATGAAGAATCTTAAAGCTGAGGAGGGCACCTCTGGAAGAGATGCTCAAATCACTGCAGCAGGTAGTGAGCATTGTTTATGAGCGTTTGTGCCTTTTTCCCTCCTGAGGGCATGTGTGGTGTGCTTTGAGCCAGGCCTATGTGCAGTCTTAGATGGATTTTGTACTCTGGAGCAAGCCCTTGTCTGGAGTGTGCTTGTGCTGTTGCTTGATCTGCTTTTGTTTCCTCTTTGGTTTAGAGTTTGAGCATAGGGTGAATCTGTGTTCTCATGGTTTCTGTGATACAGCAGAGCATTCAAGAATAAGCCATAGGGGTAGGGAGAAGATGTCCACCTTGGGAGTTTACTTTTCCAGCTGCTGTTTGTTTGCAGCACAGCTTGGGCAGGGACCAAAGAGGGTGTGTGCTTGTGACAGGCCAGCAATGCTTGGCCAAACAGCTATGACAGGTGCAGTGTGTGCTGAGTGACCAAGATGCAAGGGATCAGCTGTGATTCAGGGCTGGGATGGAGGTAAATTAGTAGTGGGGGTGGCTCAGAGCAACTGTAGCCCTGCCCAAATATCTCTTTCTGGTCAGCGGGCTCCCCAGCCAAATGAGGAGGGAGGTGACCTTGCATCCCCTCTCCCATCCAGATGATTGCTCTGTAATGATGCTGATTAACAATATCAGAGCACCAAAACAAACCAAGGGTAGCAGGGGGCTACATTTCGTCCCAGCATCGTTTTGTCCTATCAAACCATGATACAGGCCAGAAAACACCACCTCGTGATATCTCAATCCTGTTTCTGACTCTGAGGTTAATTCGGCTAGAAGAAGACAAGAGCAACAGATATGGTCAACTTGCAAGAAATGAATTGAAACACGGTGGCAACATGTTGTGCCCAGCAAAAGTTGTGCCCAGGCTGTCCCTCTGCTGAAGATGTGCTGGGTGCTTCAGTTTGACCCAGACAAGGAGGCAGGAGACTGCTGATGGTCACTGCGGTGTAATATTTCAAAATAATTTTACTTTAAATTTTATTTGTATCTTAAAAATAAACATCAATATTTAAAATATCAGTAAACAAACCTGTGAAACCAAAGCAGTGAATATGAATTACATACAGAGCAGTGTACTAGGGAGTTGCTGTGAGCATCTTATAGTAACTTCAGTGCAAAGCTGAAACAGGTCCATGGCAAGAATAGCAGGGTGTTGCCCAGAACAAGTTTGGGGTGTATTTCCCAGCTTATAGCATGGCTCAGACCAGGTCCGTGTGGTGCAAAAGCGATGGCAGAGAGGAAGATGGGCCAAGGAACAGAAATGGGGGCTGGGGCACCGCTTTCCTTGTTTGCGAAGGATTCTGAGAGCAGAGCCTGCTTCACATGCAAAAGCCTTTTATTCTCCAGTCCTTTAGTGCTTATCTTGTGTGTTCCCACCTGGCTTGCTGCACAAACATGCACAGACACAAACGCATAGTTTTACGTACACATCCATCTTCACAGGCCCTAGGCTTTCTCTGAGCAATTTTGGCTCTTCTTTCCCATCTTTTTCCTGGAGCTATCCTCAGCCACTCTCTTCCCCCTTGAGAAGGAAAGTGGGCAGAAAGAGACTTATTCGTTGGCTCCAGTTGCCTTCACAGTAGGTAAGAGTTTAGAATGGGCAATGTTTACAAGGTAATTTCTGTCTCCCTCTGGAGGTGGTCCCTGCTCCCAATGTGGGGTATGGGCTGTGCCCGGTCTCGCACTCTGTGTGAATTCACGGCTGGTGGCCCCCCTTCTGTCAGCATGGTGACTGAAGGCCCCAAGCGGCCAGAAGTTTTGCTCCTGTTGAGCAAAGCAGAACACTGACTATTTTGATGAACTGTGTTCTTTTGACTAAGCAATATAATTTCTTCGTTTGTGTGCACGTGTTAGGGAAAATTCAGATGTCAGCTGGGGAAGGAAAGGCCAGAAGAAAAGAGAGCAAGTATTTGAGTTTGGAAATGCTCCCAGTATACTTCTAAAGCAGTGTTAATCAGCTACCTTGTGTCCCTTCTGTCAACAAGTGGGGCTCGCCTGCTGAGCTTTGTCTTCCCTAGCTGGCACTGTGCAGCAGGGTTCAGGACCCAGCCAGGTTCCTGGCCCACAGAAGGGATGGAAACCAGGAGGAATTCAAGCAGGAAATCTGGTGAGATCTTGCACTTCTCTTCCCTGGCAAAAATGCTTGGTTTGGGCTCTTCCTTTTGGCTTTAGCTGGGAGGGTTTCATATTCGATCTCCCATTTAAAAACACTGAAACTTGCAAGTTTTTCATTCCTTTTGAGGGAAGAAAAGACAATAAAAGCATGTTCTGCCAGGTCTGGTGACAGATTTACTAACAGGGCTTGTAGCTGCCAGGGGCTGGAAGACACGCTGGCTTGCTTCAGAGGCGCTGTCAGGTGGAAGGGAGGGAAGTGCTGGATGCAGTCTCTGGTTCTGTGTCCTCTCCTGGCTGCCGAGCTGATGTTCACCCTCTCGCAGCCTTGCTTCCCTGCGCTGGCTCTGCTGCATTCCCTGAGCTGCTGGGAGCTTGCTGAGAGCAGAAACCATGCGGTGTTTCGGCTGGGTTTGTTTTCTGTTGTTTCAGTGACTTGCAGAGGGCTCTGTGCCTGGACGCTGGACTGATGGGGACCAGATGGGGACCTGGGTTTCCTACCCCAAGGTCACTTGATACTTGGCTCTCCTCGGTCACTTGATACTTGGCTCTCCTCTGTCACTTTGTTGAAGGAGGTGGCAGCGCAGGCTGCTCCCCTCAGCAGATGCAGGCGAGTGAGCCTGAGGGATGATGCCTGCTCTGTTGACAGAATAAAAACGTCTGCAGCCTCAGAGAGTGATACAGCACACAAAGGAGTGGCAGGAGGGGGACATAAATTACAGCCCAGCACTGACGGAGGCTGGCTTGGCACATGGCTGGACCCTGGCTGGATCTGAAGGTTGCTCTAATTCGGTTTCTTTGGGCTCCCAGGACTCTTGGTGCCTGTTGGTGATGTCCCCTGCTGCAGAGAGAGAAGACAGTCACTAAATGTCTCTAGAGACCCCTGCAATGACTCGGGGTCAGAGCGAGCCAAGTTGGTGCTCTGCTGGAGAGCACGGCTGAGGATATGCTGAGCCTGTGGCACCCAGTGACTCTGCTCTCCCCTTGATAACCACTTCCTTGGGGAGGTTTTCTCCCAAAAGGGACCACTGGGCTGCCTGTCCTCCATGCGGCCGAACCAGTGGCATGCTGCTACTTTTCTGGCCGTTGCATGGGACAGGGCAGGTGGCAATAAGCAGGGAGTGGGGGGCTCCACAGTACTCACGTGCGGCTGCATCTTTGTGCCGTTGAGGTGGGCATACATGAGCGCAGCAATGTTGCTGTGGCCGGCCTCCAGTGCGATGGCGACAGCATTGTTGCCATCCTAGAAAGGGCAGAAGAGTGGTTGGGAAGAGGTTTGGCAGAATAGCGTGAGGTACCAGGGACCCCAAGCGTTTCTGGGCAGGAGTGGTGGAGGGCTTGTGCCTTCTGAGCACCCCTGCAGGGCTTACGCTGTCCACGATGGAGATGTTGCAGGTGGGCTGAGCCAGGAGCAGCTTCACTGTCTCCACGCGGCCGTGCTCGCAGGCACACATGAGCGCGGTCGAGCCTTCCTCGTCCTGCAGGTTCACATCGGCTCCGCAGGCGAGCAGGGCTTCCACCATCTCCTGCCGGCCGTGGCTGACGGCCAGCATGAGCGCTGTCTGGCCAGCCTGCAACACAAGGGACACTGCCAGGCTGCTCCTACCTACCCGTGATGGTGCCAGCCCCCAGCTGTGCCTCCCTCTTGTCCCACTGCCCTGGGGAGGCACTGCTGCTGTCCCTAGTGTCCACATGGGCTCTGAGCATCTTCTTGCCTGGAGACCAGGTGTGGGTGCAACTAGAGAGCCCTGATGCTGGCCAAAAGGAGTTCCTGACGAGGTGCCTTCCCCATGCACTAGCCCTTCCAGGGTTGGGAACCACAGTCCTGTCCTTGGGGTGGAGGCAGAGGATGAGCATGGCACTGGGAGCTGCTGGGGGGTCCTGACACGGCGCCACTGAGCAGACCCCCTGGCCCACACCAACCTGGCTCGCCTTGGCATTGACGTTGCCCATGCTGAAGAGTCTCCTGACCACGTTCATGTCCTCCTCCTGCTCAACAGCCGCCAGCGCTGCCAGCATGAGGGCTGTGTAGCCAGCTTTGTTCTGGTGATCCACGTTACAGACCCCTGCGAGGAACCAGCAGAGTGGGGGAGTCAGGACGTCGCTCCCAGGCAGCAAGGCCTAATGGGTGCTGCATGCTGGGCATGTCATGGCCAGCAGGACACAGGAACAAGCTGCGCACCCTGCTCCCTCCCACCTGAGGATGCTCTGAGCTGGCCTGCAGCCCTGAAGGCCCAGACCTACTGCTGGGTCCCCCCTGCCAAACCTGGGCTACCAATGGGCCAAGGGAAGTTGCCCAAACTACCTGGGCTGGTGAAAAGTTCTGCTGGCAATTAGAGCAGAGCTGTTTGGGCCAGGGGCTGCCCCTGCCCTCCAGTGATGCCTTGCGCCCTCCTCTGACAACCCAGCTGCATCCCCCAGGCCCACAGGGCACCCTTACGGATTATTTTGCATAGGAAACTAGGGTTGTTTGAGCCCTGTTCATGTGCATGGTCTCCCATTTGTGAGTGTGTGCGTGGACACAGCATGGGGTGGGGG